GTTGGAGGGTCAGTGCTGAGGGAGAGTTACACTGTCGGAGGGTCAGTGCTGAGGGAGAGTTACACTGTTGGAGGGTCAGTGCTGAGGGAGAGTTACATGCAACATTTAACTGTGCCCTGTGAGGTCTCTCAGGTTGACGTTAAACATTGTACGGTATGATATGAAGAACAGATTGCTCTCCATGGTGTCCTGGCAAATTCTTATCCCTGAAGCAATACCATGAAACACAATCCCCCGTCATTATTTCCTTGCTGCTTTCTGTCATCATTGTAGTTCCTGCATCCTGACATTGCATACAATGCTTCATCTGTTAATACCTATTGCAACTCTCGCACAGGGAAAGGTGACAGAAATGCACTTTGCTCTTTTGGAAAAGGTTACTAACTGCAATGTCTGAGTACCTTGTGTAAGCGGCCTCCAAAGCAAATTTTCTACCCAACATTTAAAGGGATGTTATAACGCACTTCTGGAGCAGGTGGGGCACTGTGCATGCACCACAAGAGCCCGAGAAATTTTACTTCTATACTGGGGCCAGTTAAGGTCACCTTCACCAATGCAGCTTACAAATCTGCCCATCCACAATTGCAATTGATGCCCCCGTCTTACTGCCAACAGAGCCCATCTCATCCTGTTCCCAATTGGTTCACTGTGTACATTCTGTACAGAATCAGAAAGGCTGTGAACTGCTGATCATCCCTCATCAACACTACAGAGAAACAAAGCAATGAAGCCTGCATCCATCAATCAGGGAGCAGTACCTCTAACCCTCTCATACAAAGCCAGTCAGAAAACATACTGAAGGAAACAGGGACAAGAGTGAAATGGACACCTGGGAGTGTGCACACAGACACACAAGTTATGCAAATTTGAACAGACACACACACAAACTGACATTGGCACAGAAACCCGGCAATGAACAGACATTTACACAGATGTAAAACACATACACACGAATCCCTTAGCTCAAACACAAGATTATGCAAATGTCAACATTCACACACACGTGTGCACACAATAACACATACAAGTATGCTTGCACAGAAAGTCAAACACACAACTACATGGAAGAATACATATAAACACCCAAAACCAATCCAGGAACACGCTTCAGAAGCACAAACACAAAAATCTATGATATGCAGAAAAACAGACGCACATTCACAAATGCACACAATGTTCACGTACATACTGAAACACGTAAACAAACTTACATATAGTTGTTTAAACAGGAACTCACGTCCACTGAGAAATACACACTGGCACCAAGATATACTTTCAGATACACTAATTGTGCAAACCAAACTGAAACACAACTCCAAAACATACAGGCACCAAGAAAGACAGAAATACGCACGGACACACTCTCAGACAGACAGACACTGCCATACAGACTGTAACACGCACTGATACACCCTCAGACTGACACTGTGATACAGACTGTGACACACACTGATACACCCTCAGACAGACAGACAATGCCATACAGGCTGTAACACACAGGCACACTCTCAGACAGACCGACACTGTCATACAGACTGTAACATACCCCGACATGCTCTCAGACGGACTGACACTGATAGACTGTAACACACACCGACACACCTCAGACATAGTGATACTGACTGTAACACACACCAACACACCTCAGACATAGTGATACAGACTGTAACACAAACCAACACACTCTCAAAAGACTGACACGGTGATACAGACTGTAACACACACTGACACACTCTCAGAAAAACACTACAATACAGATTGAAACATACCAACATACTCTCAGACAGACTGACATTGTGATACAGACAGTAACACACACCGACAGTCTCAGACAGACTGACATTGTGATAGACTGTAACACACACTGATACAGTCTCAGAGAGACACTGTCATACAGACTGTAACACACAGTGACATACTCTCAGTCAGACACTGTGATAAAGACTGTAACACACACTGACATACTCTCGGACAGACAGACACTGCAATACAGACTGAAACACACTGACATACTCTCAGACAGACTGATACTGTGATACAGACAGTAACACACACTGACAGTCTCAAACAGACTGACACTGTGATAGACTGTAACACACACTGACACACTTTCAGGCAGACTGGCACTGTGATACAGACTGTAACACACACCGACACACTTTCAGACAGACTGGCAATGTGATACAGACCGTCACACACAGACACGTTCTCAGACAGACAGACACTGTGATACAGCCTGTAACATACACCAACATGCTCTCAGGCAGACTGATACTGTGATAGACTGTAACACACACTGACACTCTCTCAGACACTGCCATACAGACTATAACACACTGACACACTCTCAGATCGACTGTCACTCTTATACACACTGTAACACACACTGACATGCTTTCAGACAGACAGACACTGCGATACAGACTGTAACACACACTGACACACTGTCAGACAGACACTGCGATACAGACTGTAACACACACTGACACACTGTCAGACAGACACTGCGATACAGACTGTAACACACACTGACAGTCTCAGACTGACACTGTGATCCAAACTGTAATACACACTGTCACACTCTCAGACACAGCCATACAGACTGTAACACACACTCTCAGACGGGCAGGCACTACGACACAGACTGTAACACACACTACAGTCTTAGGCAGACAGACACTGTGATACAGACTGTAACACATACTGAAACTCTCAGACTGACACTGATACAGACTGTAACACACACTGACACTCAGACAGACACTGCGATACAGACTGTAACACACTGACACACTGTCAGACAGACAGACACTGCAATACAGACTGTAACACAATTGACACACTCTCACACCGACACTGTGATACAGATTGTAACACACACTGACAGCCTCAGACAGACACTGTGATCCAGACTGTAAAACCACTGTCACACTCTCAGACACAGTCATACAGACTGTAACACACACTC